CCTGGTTTCCTCCCTGGTTCTGGGAGGGGAGTGGGGGCTAGTGGTTAGAGCAGGGGGGGCCTGGGAGCCAGCACTCCTACTTCTATCCCTGGTTCTGGGAGGGGAGTGGGGGCTAGTGGTTAGAGCAGGGGGGCTGGGAGTCAGGACTCCTGGGTGACTGGGAAGGGGCATCACTTGGTGCCTTAGTTTCTGCCTCTCATGTAGTTGAGGGGGCTGTAGGGTTATTGGCCACAGCCTGAAGATCCCAACGGTGCAGGCGGGGGCAGAGGGGATGGGGAGCCACCTCCCCCTCTTTTCCTTGACCCGTCGCCCCAGCTACGGGTACCGGGGCCGCGACTGCCGGGCCAACCTCTTCCTGCTGCCCACGGGGGAGATTGTCTATTTCGTGGCAGCCGTGGCCGTGCTGTACAGCGTGGAGGAGCAGCGGCAGCGCCACTACCTGGGCCACAACGACGACATTAAGTGGTGAGGCGGGGCCCCCGGTGAACCATTCCTTGGAGGGCCCCGGTGTGGGGATGTGCTGCGGGGGGGCAGTGTCACAGGCAGCAGATGGCTCTGTCCTGGATCAGAGCCAGCGCCCCCTAGAGGGGAAAGGCCCCGTGTCACACCCCCAAGCAGTCCCCCAGGGCATTAGGGATAGCAAATGAAGGGGAAGGGGAGGACAGAACTTCAATCCCTCCCCCCACCCCGTTCGTCTTGCCCCAAAGTGGGTTGGATGGTGGGGGAGGGAGAGCTGCCCCCGCGCCCATGGAGAGCTGAGACCCAGCAGTTCGTGTCACTTGTGGGGCCTGAACTTGCTCCTCTCTCTCCTAGCCTGGCTGTGCACCCCGACATGGTAACCATAGCAACCGGGCAGGTGGCCGGGACATCCAAGGACGGCAAGGTGAGGAGATGGGGGGCACCATGGGTCTGCAATGGGGACAGGGCAGATGCCTATGGTGAAGTGGGGGTCGTGCCAGAAAAATGCCAGTCCCTGGGTGTTGGGTTATGGAGGTGGCAATAGCAAAGGGAGAGACCTCAGGCTCTCTGGGCTGTGGGGGAGGGGGCTGGATGGGGGAGGGGTCTCCCGGGGGTGTCTCCCCAAGCCCAGCGGCTGCTGGGAGGATTTGATCCCGCCCCCAGTGAGCAGTGCGGGGGCTGGGCCAGGCTGATGGTCTCCCCCACCCCGGCTTCTCCTGCAGCCGCTACTGCCCCACGTGCGGGTCTGGGACTCGGTCAGCCTGAACACGCTGCACGTGCTGGGCCTGGGGGCCTTCGACCGAGCCGTGAGCTGCGTGGGATTCTCAAAGTCCGTAAGTGACCTGGCCCCGCCCCCTTCGCCGGTGACCTGGCCCCGCCTCCTTTGCCGGTTACCTGGCCCCGCCCCCTCACCTATTATCTGCCCCATCACCTCAGCTGTGCCCTCTCACCTCCCCCTCGACCTCCCCTGACCCTTCTCTTTGGCCCCTTCACCACTCCCCCCTCGCAGGCCCCTCCCCATGGCCTGCCCCATCAGGCGGTCCCTTTCCTTCTGCCCCCTGTCTTGGGGTGCAAGGGACTGCATTGCGCTACAGGGGATGCATGGGGCTAGGGTTTCTGGGGGTGCAGGAGGAGTCTGTTGGGCTGGGGGGTTCTAGGGTGCAAGGAGTGGGGGGCGGGGGCTCCCTTCTGTCTCTCAGTCCTGGTAGGGGGGAGCTGGTGCTCGCCTGGGTGAGTCTCCTGGTTGCAGGGTCCTGGGGGGACACAAGGGGCAACTGCCTTGCACTAGAGGGGGGGAGGATTCCCCCGCCCTACTGAGCCAGCCCTTCCCCCCCTTGAAAAGGGAGCCAATGATCCAATTGCACTCTTCCCCCCGCCGCCCAGCAGGGAAGGGGGCTGGGTCTGAAGGCTGGGAGTGGCTGGGACAGGAGAATGAGGGGAGCGTTGAGGGGGTCAGAGGGCTCAGGGTGGGGGGGGGCACAGGGCATGGGGGGGCTATGTGCACAGTGGGGGGGTCAGCAGGCAGGGGGCATCTGTACAGTGGGGGGTGACCCCCACCTGAGCCCCCCACCTCTCCGCAGAACGGCGGGGGCCTGCTGTGTGCCGTCGATGAGTCCAACGAGCATGTGCTGTCTGTGTGGGACTGGCAGAAGGAGCAGAAAATCGCTGATGTCAAGGTAACTTCCCCCCCCCCGAGATCTCCCCCCACGTTCCCCTGGCACCCGCCCCCCCTCACGCTCGCTCTCCCCCGCAGTGCTCAAACGAGTCGGTCCTGGCCGCCACCTTCCACCCCACGGAGCCGACGCTGCTCATCACCTGCGGGAAGTCGCACCTCTACTTCTGGAGCCTGGACAAGGGCAGCTTGAGCAAACGGCAGGGCATCTTCGAGGTGAGGGGGCCCGGGGGAGCTGAGCCGGGGCTGGGAATTGGGGGGGCCACTAGGGCTGCGCCAGAGGGAGTTGGGAGGCCTTTGCCCTTGTGAGGGGTGTGGGGGTTCAGTTTCTGTGCCCTCAAGGTTGGAGGTCAGGGGGTACTGAGGCCTGTGTCCTAGTAATGGGTTTTTTTGGGGGGCGGGGGGTGTCAAGTCCCTGATAATGGGGACTTGGGGGTCCTGGCCTGGGGGGCAGGTCCCTGGTCCCAGGCCGGGGGGTGTTTGCCCCAAGCTGGGTGAGGCAGGTCCCTGCGAAGAAGCAGGGTTTAAGAAACGTTCATCATGTCCCATGGTCTTCCCATCTTCTAACGCCCACGCCTGGCGCCTGAAATGCTGGCGTGAAAATCACTTCCCGGCAGGCTGTCAGGTGTGCAGCACGTTCGCTCCTCGTGCCAGGAGCAGGAGGCAGAACACACGGCAGGCTCTTGCGTGACAAGAGGCCTCGGTCACTAACGCGGTGGGACCCGATAGCTCTAAGGGCTCTGAGGCTAAGAATAGGAGACTAGAATCGGTTCTGACCATGTCCGGACCCAAGAGACCCTCCGGATCAGAAACAGGAGCTTGGCTCCGGTGCCAGGCTGTAGCCCCAGCTCATCCTCAAATCTGCCTTTAACCTCGGCACATTCCCCACTGGCCCGGGTCTGGACAAGCGACCGATGGATCCTCGGAGCGTCTCCCTCCGTTCCCTAGAAGAGAGAGGCCAGTCTGCAGCCTGTCTCCAGCAGCTCCTCGGATCACTCACATTTCACAGATCCGAAGTCTGAAGACTCAGGAGAGATTTTCAGATGTGGTTGGACAAAGCCAATGATAAAGGTTATGGCTTAAATTCATCACCCCCCTTCAGATCCAATCAGATTGTATTTCCTGCCGGCCAAAAGACCGAGACGAGAGGTGCCGAGAGAGAGGTCTCCGGGGTTATTACCGCCACTGCCTCGAACCCTTCCTGGGTCGCCGGGAGAGACCTTTTCTCCTCCGTTCTGTGGTTAGGATCCCTACATCGCAGCGTTCACCGACGCTATGAGCTTCAGGATTGGATCCGCTGTCAGACAGGGAACGAGATTGCGTGCTCGTGCCGAAGAGATGGTCTTTCCCCAAGTGAAGTTTTCGTGCATGAGGTAATACCGGATTGCCGGTGTGTCCTACTGGGGAAGTTGGCAGGACTGGCCTGTGCCTCCTTGGATGGCCTAGTCACACTGGCCAACTCCTCCTCTCTCTCCCCTTACCAGACTAGAAGGCCGGACTCTCCGGTGCCGGAAACAGTCTGTAGATTTAGGCCATTCGGTTCAGAGTTACAGAACATGTCACAGACTCACAGGCCTGGGCTCTCTCAGCTCCATATGGGAGGAGCCCCCTTCAGTGTGACAGCACTTCTTGGGGGCCCACTCTCGGGGGTTAAGCCCTGGGCTCCGCCGCCTCCTGGAACAGCCCTCAGCACACCTGTCTCTGCCGTGGGCCCCTCCGGGAGTCCACGTGCTCTGGACCCCCAGGGCCTCCACGCCCAGAGGAAATAATGCAACCCTGTTCTCTGCCTGCAGCGACGCTCAGCCAGCGTAAAACAGAAGGATTTATTGAACGACTGAACCTAGCACAGGAAGTTCTCAGGGCCCTGGGGCCTAGCAACCCTCAGCCCAGTCCAACTGGGTCTGTCTCCAGTCCCATGGGCTCTGGCTGCTCTCTCTGTTCCCAGTCCAGAAGCCCCCTCCTTCCAGCCGAGCATCCCCCCCCAACTGCCTTTGTCTTCGGTCCCAGGTAAACAGGCCACCTGGGCCTCCTCTTACATCTTTTGTTCCCCCATTGGCTGAAACTGGCTACCGAGGTCCTCTCTCCTCAGCCCACTGTCGTCCCACTGGTCAGAACCAGCTGACTCCCAAGCTGGGGTGAGCCTCCCGGTCAGCTGTTGCTGGGGTCCCCAATCTCCAGGCCATCGTCTGGGGTCCCGGCTGCTAGGCAAGGTCACACCTGGTCCTTTGCCACAACAAACCCTCTCTCACCACCTCGTTAAACACGCAGCACACGGGGGAATCAGACACACACAGTATTCATGCAAAACGCTAAGAAAATCCCCCACTTCGTCACAGTCCCCGCACCCCAGACCAGGAGGTATTCTCGGAAGAGGATTCCCAGGAGGGATCTCCACGGGGTGACTTTGAATGCGACGTCATACTCCAGACTCAGAGGGGCTCAGCTGATGACAACGTTGGAGTAGCGACAGCATTGTCTCCCTCTGAGGCTGCAATTCAGTTTGACGAATTGGTTGATAGGATGGCATCAGTAGCATTTGAGGAGACGTCCCATGGAGGTTTCAATATTCTGGGTCCTACTGTCACGGACTCACAGGACTCGTGCTCTCTCTTGGCTCTGTACGGTCCCTGGGGGGAGCCCCCTTCAGTGCGACAGCCCTTCTCGGGGATCCATTCTCTCTCGGGGGTTAAGCCGTAGGCCCCTCTGCCTCCTGGAACCGCACCTCTCTGAGCCCTCAGCATGCCTGTCTCTCGCTAGTGGGCCCCCTCAGGGAGTCCACTCGCTCTGGACCCCTGGAGCCTCCACTCCTAGAGGGAATAATGCAACCCTGATCTCTAGATTGGAGCGACTCTCAGCCAGCATAACACAGGAGGATCTGAACCCAGCATAGGAAACTCTCCAGGCCTCAGGCCTGGCTTCCCGCAGCGCAGGACATCTAGGTCTGTCCAGCCTCCGGGTGGGCTCTGGCTGCTCCCTCCTCCCAGCCCAGGACCCCCTCCTTCCAGTTGGGCAGCCAATACCACCGTCCCCCAAGTCCCGCCTCTGTCCTTTGTCTTCTGTCCCAGGTAAACAGGCTGTCTGGGCCTCCTCTCCTCCCAGCCTCTCCTCTCATCCATCCTTTGTTTCCCCTCTGGCTGGAACCAGCTGGTCAAGTCACTGGGGTCCTCTCTTCACATCCCATTGTCCTCCCAATGGCCAGAACCGGATGGAGCTGGGCCTCCTGGTCAGCAGGTCACCAGTCGCTGGGGTATCCATTTTCCGGGCCATTCGCCAGCCCTCTGTAACAACAAACGCCCTCTCCCACCACCTCATTAAACCAGTAACACCCAGGGAAACTGAGTCCCACACCTACTGCCACGGCTACAGCCTCCTTGCCTGTAGTAGAAGGGCTCTGGCAACTGGCAAAGTCCCTTTGGCCCAGACCATCTTCATGCCAACCCGTTTCTGGAAAGGCCACAAATTATGTCCTATCCCCAATGAGGGATTTTCTTGTTTGCATGTGCATCCTCAGCAGCTCTTGAAAGTCTAGATCAAGGTTTTCAACTTTCCACCTCTATGGATAAAGATGGGGGGGAAATTGGAGACGCTGGGCAAAAAATCATTTTCTTCCTGCATCCTTAAACACGCACATAGCTAGCTACCAAGCCGTAATGGCTCGGTGTCAGTTTCAGTTATGGGAGCAGAAGTCTATTGAACATTTACCAGAATGGCAGAGGAAATTAACATCAGCCCCTATTAAGGAGGGCCAAAACGAGGCCAAAGATGTTCTTAGGGTATGATCATTTCATGTCTCTGATACTACTTCCACTTCGGTGGCATCTGCAGTAGCTCTGTGAAGACATCCTTAGTTATGTTCATCTTCTGTCCCATTTGATATAAAACAAAGGACTTACCCTTTGCAGGGGATGGCATATTTGGTGCAAAAACAGATGAGACAGTGGCAAGACTGAGAGAGACTTGATCCACAGGAAAATAAGAACTTCTGCCTCCTTATAGAAGGAGAATGTCTACACTCAAGTGCATGTATCACAGGCAACATATCTCACCATCTTCCTCTTGCCCGAATCAGAGGAGACAGCCTTACTGTCAACAGTGAATGTCTTTTTAGAACCAAGATAGAAAGTAACCCTGCAAACCCCTTTTGAGAACAAAGATTTCCTCAGTCACATCTTCCCTATTGAACAGCAGGACACAGGTTTGATGTGTTAGTTGAGAGCTTCGAAGCAAAGTCGGAAGGTCCCACCTATGGTTTTGACAATGCATGGACAGCTGTCACCTCGGACAGATGGCATTAGATACAGCGAGGGAAGGCTATACCAACCCGTTCAAATCACTTCCTCCTTGCAGCCTTCCTCATGCGTCCCGTGCCTTTTCAGGATCCTTCCCACAAGAGACTATCACCTCTCTAAGTACTCTGATCACTAAAGGATTCAGTATTTTGGCGTATCTTCAACGATTGGAGATTTCTGGACATTGCTCTGTTTACCACCAGACTCAATCAGAAATGACCCCGTTTTTGCTCAAGAGCAGGTCTGGACAGACCATCATTGGCAAATTGGTTCTTCTTAGATTGGGGGAAGGTCTTGTGTCTGCATCTCCCCCCAGTTCCCAAAGTTCTAGAGAGAAGGACACAGGATTCTGCCTGAATGATCTTGATTGCTGCAGTGTAATGGGGACAATAGTGGTACCCCAAGCTACTCCACTTAGCCAACGGCAAATACACAATGCTGCAGTTGTCAGCGGACCTACTCCGACAGGAGAGGAGAGTCCTATCCCTAGATCTCAAATCATACATCTAACAGCCAGGGCGATAGGACTTTGAGGGACCTAGAAAGGTTATGTTCCATTGAGGTCCAGCGAATTCTCATTAGTGCTGGGAAACCCGGTACTAGGAGAAGTTATGACTTTAAATGGGAAAGATTTGTTATACAGGCAGCTAATAGAAATGTGGACCCAGTTTCAACCCATGTTCAATTGATCTTAGAATACCTGTTGCGCTTAGACTCTCTTTTATCTTTCTCCTGTGAAAGTACATCTAGCAGTTTTTGCATCAGTCCATATTCCTCTTCAGGGTAAATCCATGTTCTCACACAAGCTGGTGAGGGACGTTGTAGAAGGTTTATTGAATATTTATCCTCCTGTCCCTACGTGGAAGCTGAATTGAGTATTAACTCGGCTCACGTCTCCCCCGTGTGAGCCGTTATGGTTGTTCCCTGTTTCATCTTTCTACCAAGACAGCCTTTATATGAGCAATTGCTTCCGCCAGGAGAATCAGTGAGCTGCATAGAATCAGAATATCTGGGTTGGAAGAGACCTCAGGAGATCATCTAGTCCAATCCCCTGCTGAAAGCAGGACCAACACCAACTAAATCATCCCAGCCAGGGCTTTGTCAAGCTGGGCCTTAAAAACCTCTAAGGATGGAGATTCCACCACCTCCTTAGGTAACCCATTCCAGTGCTTCACCACCCTCCTAGTGAAAAAGTTTTTCCTAATATCCAACCTAAACCTCCCTCACTGCAACTTGAGACCATTGCTCCTTGTTCTGCATGCATTGATGGTGCACTCCCCAGACAAAGCATAGACCACATCCTACATCCCTTCTGAAGGCAGCTTTGGATTTCCGGGTTAATCAAAGTGTAACCTTACCTGGGTTTTCTCCTAAACTTCATACCAGTGAAGGGGATTTTAGATCACGCTCTGTGGATGCGGAAAGAGCGCTCTTCGTATTCTCTAGGTAGAATTCAGGTCATTTCATATACGGATGCTGTCAGGGTTCTCTCCCCACTCTGAACTCTGGGGTATAGATGTGGGGACCCGCATGAAAGACCCCCTAAGCTTATGTCTACCAGCTTAGGTTAAAAACTTCCCCAAGGCACAAATCCGTCCTTGTCCTTGGATGAGTACTACTGCCACGTCCTTGGATGAGTACTACTGCCACCACCAAGTGATTTAAACAAAGATTCAGGGAGGGCCACTTGGATCCCTATCTCCCCCAAAATATCCCCCCAAGCCTCTACACCCCCTTTCCTGGGGAGGCTTGAGAATAATATCCTAACCAATTGGTTA